TAAATTACATTGTCACTTTGAGCCAGATTTTTATGCTTAGTATACAACTCCCTGGCTTGTGTAGACTTAAGGCGATGTTTTTGAAATTCGACACAACGATTGCAATCTACTACAGTATTACAATCATGTGATGTTTGCTGTTTATGTAAATTAAAAGACTCACACATTTCGCACTCCTCATTACCACGTCGAGTGAATGAAATATTTAAAGTTTTGAGTTGTTTGCGATAAACCTCATAGGACATTTTCTTCTAGATATCTGAACAGAAATCTTTGTACATAAAAGTTATATTGATATCTCTTGGTAAATATCGTCTCAATGGCGCGTGCTCCCGTCTGTAGTGCGTCTCTGCAAGATTGAATGATTGTATGTGGTTATTAATTAACTGGCGATCTATACGAGGCATTTTCTGGTGTTTTCCACGCATGTCTGAATGAATGGGGTTTGTAGCATCAAGTGACCTCAATATCGCGTCGTTATTTTTTTTATAACCCAAGGTAGTCAAAAAAAAATATTTTGCATACCTCAATAACAGATCCATCTCTTTTCTTCTTAAACGCAAAACATATTTTTGGCTTTCTTTTAGGTTCAGTTGTGTATTTTCTTTTCGAAACTACTGCAGCCACTTGAGACATAACAAAAACTCTTCGCTGTTCAAAAGACAAACTCCAAAAATCAGAATTCAACTGTGCTCTATCTTGCTCAGTAAAAACGTATTACATTTTTTCAAACATTTTTCAGTACAAGCTGGTTTTACGGCATATTCTAACTGCTTTTTAGCTCTATTCTCTTTAATCCATTTACCTAGGCCAGGGTCATACTTCTTTCGTTTCTGTGGTTGGACATCAAATTCACTTCTCCCCGTACCAGTGCTTTTCGTATCCATAGTGTTAGTATTTTTGTTTTTATTAGTCCAATCTACAGTGTGTCTTCGTGGCTCTTTGTTTTTCCATTTTCAATGCATCTTAGTTCTCGAAAATCTGTCTTAACACGTCTTTTTTATGTTTATTTGACGACAGTAAATTACGGAATGTATGAGATGGTGAAGATTTGATGAGTGTAGCTGTAGAAGTAGAAGGCTCGGTTAAATTTTTTTAGGAAAAATTCGTAATTGACTTTTCTTTGACAATTTTCGGCCCGAAGGAACGTTTTCTGGCAAATTTAAATCGTCTAAATCTTCGCTTGAATCCGGAACATAATCTTGATCAAGAACAGAGTCGTCTGAATTAAAATCTAATATATTAGGGCATAATGATGGTTTTGTATTATTATCAGGGTGAAAAGAATTATGTTGGATGGAAGCAGGTACATTATCAGAAGGAACATCATCTGCTGGTATTTCTTCATAACAGAACATATCAGTGTTTTCTTATGATATGCTGGGAAAGGCTTTGTTTAGCATAGTAATTTTATTTATCAAATTTCGGGAATGGTAAGATGTTAAACTATTTTGAGCATACAAATTGTTTACAAATTCTATTTCCGGTTCGCCAGTTTGCATCTTAAAGTAATCCGAACTTGGTATTTTTGACGTTACCATATCTAATATTAGTTCAGATCGCCGGGAAATTTTAGAACTGCAAAAAAATGAAAAATTCCATTTACTACGAATAATAATATTGGAATATGAACAAGTAACTATTTTTTAAACAACACACTATCATGGAAACATACAAAATATACAATCTTTCATCTTTTACATGTATGTACAAGTCGTAATTAAGATTCCATTAACTTTTAAAGCGCATTTGTTAAAAATTCTAGTAATAATAACAAGAAGGAACTTACCAAGGCATTTTCTTAGCCATATTGATGACTTGGCGTGAAATATCCTGTTCACCAAAAGCTCTTGACGTGCTTTCTCCGACAAACGATAGAATAATTAATACTGAGGATATGGATATGACCGCGCCGCAGTGTAGCAGGTGAGAGGTAGGTCGAATAGTGATGTAGGGTTTCTTAAAGGAGTTTTACTGTTTATGTATGTATGTTTAAGTTTTACATTGTACAGCAATATTTTAAAATGATCCTTAGCTTTAACCCATCAAAGCCTGTTTATGAAGGTTTATGAAATATTAAGAAGTTACGTTTGTTTTTAAGTCTGATAATTTTTAAATCTAAAAAATTTATGGGTTGATTTTGTTCTGTTTCTATTAGTGATGTAACGAATGTCATTTTTTAAACATTTTTAAACGCGAATATATGCCACCGACATTCGTGAAAGCGAATATTCAGCTTTTTTTTAATTTGACCATTTTAATTGTCTCCGGCACTGCCGGCAGTCTCATTTACGCGAGGTGTGTAGTTGTACACAGTGTAGTGTACTGTACATTATATATTAGCATCTGAAATTGGAAGTAGTCTGTCATTTTTAACTGCTTTAAATTGTCCACTATCGTTCTATCATATTTTCTAAAGATGTGAAACAGTTGTATTTATTGTAAAGAAGTTTATTGCAGGCGACAGTTAAGTTTATTGTGGGGTCGTTTAAAAAGGTATTTATTTATAGTTACGGCCGGACCAAAAACGTAAAAAACACGTTTTTCCAGCCCATTTTTTTCCGTTATAACCAAATTTGCCTTGCTATAAATAGTTATAGTTCCAATAGAAATTTCACGGGACACAAGTCACTCCACTTGCTCTGCTCTGCTCGTGCACAAATACAAGCGAATATTGTAGTTAAAGTGTGATTAGCGATTTATCAACATAGGTAAATAAAATTATAGTGAAATATGGACTTATTTTACACCACTTTGCGATACTGAACGAGCTAAATGCAAGCTGTGTAACAAAGAATATTGGAGAAAAGGAAGAAATACAACGGCTATGAGAAATTATTTAAAGGCACTGCATAAAACCGAGTTTTCTAAATTAGAAGAGTGTGAAAACAGAAAACAAGTTGCTTCTAAGTCACTAGAACTGGCATCATCTTCCCATCAAGGTACTAAATCTGCCATGAAACAAATATCGCTTCAAGAATTTGTCGATAAAACGAAACAGTGGGATAAAAATTCTTTGAAGTCATTGGCAGTGGATAATTCTATAAGTGAAATGGTTGCGTTGGAGGACTTGCCATTTAGTTTCGTGGAAAGTGTTGGATTCATAAGATTTATCAAGCATTTGTGTCCGTCTTATAATTTAAAGTCGCGTCAGTATTTCATTTCATTTATATGTGATAAATTATTTGGCAAAGTCAGAACATTCTTGAATTTCTAAAATCCTTCGAAAAATTATCATTTACTACCGAAATTTGGTCTGATAATTATTCTGGAGTTTCATTGCTGAGTTAACTTGTCATGGGATCACAAAATAATTTAAATGGAAAATGATAGTGTTGAAAGCAGAAGTGTTTAATGAAGACCGTCACACCGGAGAGAAAATATTGCTCACAAACTTAAAGACATCTTGTCGTTTTGGGAAATACCCAAAGAAAAAGTGAAATGTGTAGTTCGCGATGCAGGTGCTAATATGAAAAAACGTTTTAAAAAAAACTTATTAAATGTTGAACATTAATTTAACTTGAAATTAATTAATTTAACTTGGCATTAGTTTAACTTGAAATTATCAACAATGTATTGCAGGTAAACGTAATTATATCAGACAATTTGAATTTTTTATACATATATATATATATATATATATATATTATATATATATATATATATATATATATATATATTTATTTTAGATTATCTTCATCATCATCCTCTGATGACGAAAATGAGCAGCGAAGGAGAAGACCACGCTTGCAGCTGCAAAAAAGGAATCCTTTTGCTGAATTTTATGTTGTGGACGTAAAAAACTAGGTTTATATTATCAAAAATTCAGTAGATCAATTATTAAATTTGATCGTTAACCAATTGCATCCTCTAAGCAACAAAAATAGACCCATATGTGCGAAATCAATTGTTAATTGTTCTTCGTTTTTATGCATGATCACTTTAATATTTCAAAAGCAAGAGTCTGTCGCATTGTAAGAAAAGTATCCCATTACATTGCTCTATTACGTCCTCAGTCTGTACAATTGCCACAGAACCGTAATGAATTGAATAAGGTGCAAAATAATTTTTCTGGCCATTCGAAAGGACATATTTAAAAACTCAGTTAAATTTTCAAGTCCCTAGGTTCCTCTGGGGGTTCGCTATGGGAAAAAACGTATTTAAATTTTTTTTATACGCTGTATTAGTAGGTATAAGTGGTTGGTGGTTCGGTTCAAGATCAGGGACTTCCGCCGGAAGTCCCTAATCTTGAACCAAACCACCAACCACTTATACAGGACTTTTCTTCCACCCCCCCCCCCCATTGATCCGGTCAACCAACCCGGAAGTCCCTAATCTTGAACCAAACCACCAACCACTTATACAGGACTTTTCTTCCACCCCCAATGATCCGGTCAACCAACCCGGAAGTCCCTAATCTTGAACCGAACCACCAACCACTTATACAGGACTTTTCCCCCACTCCTCACTGATATAGAAGACTTAATCCTAACTCAACCTGATCCGGTCAACCAACCCGGAAGTCCCTGATCTTGAACCGAACCACCAACCACTTATACAGGACTTTTCTTCCACTACTCACTGATATAGAAGACTTAATCCTAACTCGACCTGATCCGGTCAACCACTTATATAGGACTTCCTGTTTAATTAGGATTTCCGGCTAGATAAGAAAAACCATTAGATAAGCTATCAGATAAGAAATAACTGCTGATAAGGCGGAAGTCTAAAAATAAAGAATCCGTTAGATAAGGTACTAGATAAAAATAAGGAGGAATTCCAAAAATACATTAGTACATAAGAAAAACCGTTAGATAAGATATCGGATAACAAAAAAAAGGAGGAAGTCCAAAAATAAATAAACCGTTAGATAAGAAAAACCGTTAAGGTCGAAAAGCTTATCAATAACAAGAAATGACGGGAAATCTTATCACGGTAAACATTATTATAAATAAGAGATTATTACAGCAGTATTTAGTTGCATTCAATACTTTGTCAAGATGAGGTGTGATCAGTGTCAACAAGACTTTGCAAACAAAAGCAATTTATTTAGACATAAACGAAAAAGTTGTAAAGGATTAGAAAATATATCCAAGAAAAGAAAAATTGATCTGCCTGTTCTAGAAAATCTAGAAAGTAGTGTTAAAAGACTACAAAAGGTGACGTGTGATCAGTGTCAACGAGACTTTGCTAACAAAAGCACTTTAGTTAGACATAAACAAAAAAGTTGTAGAGGATTAGAAAATATATCCAAGAGAAGAAAAATTGATCTGCCTGTTCTAGAAAATCTGGGAGATGGTGTTCAAAAACTGCAACAGGCTTTCCAGTACCGTATTGCCACTTACAGGTTTCGTGTTGAAGGAAACTGTATAGATCCTTCGCAGTTTATGAATGACGTAAAGCAAAAAGTGAGTAACGTGTTGAGTGATTATATTAGAAATCACCACAGCTTTAAGGTTAGTTTAGAACTTTTTGGACTTTATATTATACCTGCCAAAGAAATATCAGAAATAAAGTCATTTAATACAAAAAATAAAGTAGTAACAACATCCTCTGATCTGAACGAAATTTATGATGACTTTAAAGATGTAATTATGACCAAAGCTTATGAGTTTAAAGAAGCAAAATCTGGTTGGAGTCTATGTTATGTTTTTGAATTTGTACATTAACAAGTACAGTCCACTGTCAGCGTCTTCGTATATAAGATTACCGTGCTCAATTGAAAAGAAAGGAAGTACGTTGAATATACAAAATCAAGATAGTGCCTGCTTCGCTTGGACCATCAACGCGGCGATATTTCCACATGATGGTAATCCTACTAAACCAGAATCATATCCTCATTATAATACACTACTTAGTTTTGATGGGATTGAGTTTCCTGTCAAACTAAAAGATATACATAAATTCGAGCAGTTAAACAATATATCTGTCAACGTGTTTGGTCTTGAAACATATTTTAAAGATGGAAAAATGGTTACCGAAGTAGTTGGACATTTCTACCATACGCCCAGCCGCCAAGCTACTCATGTGAATCTTCTACTAACAACAGATGATAATGGAAACAGTCACTACTGCCTAATTACAAATTTATCCAGACTTGTGCGAAGCCAGAAGACTAAACGTCAAAATCAAACTTTTATTTGTGATGGATGCTTACAATTTTTTAGAACCCAGCAACACTTAACCAAACACCAAGAATGTGACTGCAACCATCTGCGAACAGAGGTGCCATCTACCGGTTTAAAAATAAATAAATATGGTGAGTACAGACCTGAAAACATACTTAATTTATTAATTTTGAACGTCAGTTACCGGTACCTTTTGTTATATACGCTGATTTTGGAGTTTATTGAAACCTTTCGCTTACACTGAACCTGACAACAAAGACTCATTCACTATAAAAACATATGAACATGAACCTTATTCATTTGCTTTCTACGTAAAATGTAATTTTAATGATACATTTTCTAAATATTATTCTTATCGAGGCCTAATTGCGCCGAAGTTTTTACTGCTATGATTGATGGTGTAGTACAGGAACTGTATAATAAACACCTTAAACATGTTAAACCAATGAGTCCATTAACAAAAGAACAACTTATTGAATTCAATAAGGCTACTTCATGTCACATTTGTACTAAATCATTTGAACAGGGGGATGAAAAAGTGCGAGATCATGATCATTTAATTTCGGAAAACAATTTTAGAGCGGCTGCACACTCAACATGTAACTTAAACTATAAAATTCAGAATTATATCCCAATTTTTTTCATAATTTATCTAATTACGATTGCCATCTGTTTATTAAAAAACTATGTTTGAACAAAGAGCGTATTGATGTAATTGCACAAAACAAAGAGAAGTATATTTCTTTTTCTAAATATCTATTAGTGGAAAAGTCTAATGCCCCAAAAGTTCCAAATGTTTATATGAAACTGAGGTTTGTAGACTCTTTCCGCTTCTTAGCAAGTTCTCTAGATAAATTATCTGAAACATTAAAATCCGATCAGTGTAATGAAGTCAGGAAACATTTTCCTAATGAAGAAGAATTTGGATTAATTAGACAAAAAGGTGTTTTCCCTATACATATGTAGACAGTTTTGAGAAATTGGATGAAACTTGTTTACCAAGCAAAGAATGCTTTTACGATAATTTATAAGGTGAACCGATTTCTGATGAAGACTATCGCCGAGCTTCTGAAGTATGGACAATTTTTAAATGTACTACACTTGGTTCTTATTCCGATGTATACTTAAAATCAGATGTTCTTTTATTGGCAGATATCTTTGAAAATTTTAGGAAAGTTTGTCTGAACCAATACAATGTAGATCCTGCTCATTACTTAACAGCGCCTTCTCTAAGTTGGGATGCTATGCTAAGATATACAAAAATAGAGCTCGAGCTTTTAACAGATATCGATATGATTCATTTTTTTTAAGAAAGGGATTCGCGGTGGAGTAAGTCAATGTTCGAAGAGGAAAGTTGTTGCTAATAACCCATTTGTGTCAAATTAGGATCCTTTACAACCAAATGCTTATATTATGTGTTTAGATGCAACAAACTTATATGGAGCTGCGATGAGTAACTATCTTCCTACAGGTGGATTCAGATGGCTAGAAACCTGTGATAATTTTGATTGTTTTGCAATAGCAGATGATTCGTTCAAAGGATATGTGTTAGAAGTCGATTTAGATTATCCACCCAATTTACATAATATTCATAACGATCTGCCGTTTTGCCCTGAACCGATAAAGACTTTAAATAATCAATACACAAAACTTGTGCCAAATCTTTACGATAAAAAAAGTACATCATTCATTACCGTAATTTAAAGCAATGTCTTAAAAACGGTTTAAAATTAGTGAAAATACACATAGTGTTAGAATTTTCCCAATCTCCCTGGTTAAAAACTTATATTGATTTAAACACAAATCTTCGTAATTCGTCTAAAAACGAGTTTAAAAGGGATTTGTTTAAGCTTTTAGTTAACTCTATCTTCGGAAAGACTATGGAGAATGTATATAAGAGACAAAATATACGCTTATTAAGTCATTGGGAAAATAGGAAGCAGCGTAAAGTCATATATCGATAAACCCAATTTCAAAACATGTTCAATTTTTGAAGAGAATTTAGTAGCTGTTCATATGGAACGACTTATGATAAGCCTCTTTACGTAGGTTTTTGCATACTTGATCTATCCAAAACGGTGATATATGATTTTTTTTACGATTACATCAAACCAATGTATGAAGATAATGTTACTTTATGTTATACAGACACACACTCTCTTATATTAGAAATTCATGCAGATAATGTTTACAATGATATTAAGAACAATATATCATACTTTGATACATCCAATTATCCAATTGATAATATTAACGGTATTCCCAAAACTCAATCAGTTATCGGAAAAATGAAAGATGAATTCAAAGGTGTTCCTGTTGAAAGTTTTATTGGGACAGGCGCAAAAGCTTACTGTGTTAAGTTATCCAATTCTAACCTACTGAAAAAAGCAAAAGGTATTTAAAAAAATGTAATCAAACATCAGCTTCAATTATCGGATTATATTCAAGTTATCGAAGATAAAAAATCAATTCTTAGAAAAATGTATGTTTTCTCGTCTCACTCACACAATATATACACAGAATTAAAAAATAAAATAGCATTATCATGATCAGACGATAAAAGAATAATTTATTATATTATTAAATGTGTTTTAATATCTATTATTTTAAACATAGTATTTTAGGTATATAAATTAAATGTATTACAAAAAATTTAATCAGACATTATAAAATTCTCATACAAAAAAAAATACATTTGATAAAGCACATATGCAATTGTTTTTTTCGTGGTAATAACATGTAGATTTCATGGTTTGAAGAGCTGTATACTCGTCAAACTCGTACACTGGAGCATTTGAGTACTTCCTTATATAATTTGCTTTTTCCAAACCTTCTACGTATACCATAGTAGCATTAGTTGTTATTTTTCCAAAATATTCGGTAGTTGGTGAATAGGTGTGAAGCCATTAGACCAATTAATACAATGATGATTATTCATCAACCATACAGACTGTTTATGAAAATCTGATGGAAGCATTCTTAATGGGAATGGGGGTTTAAACAAGAAGTGAGTTATATGGGTTCCATCATATGATGCTAATTCTTTTATGATAAATTTGTTATGTTCCATTTTAAAACCTTGAACATCTATTACCAGCTTAATATTTTTAGGTTAGATAATTGTTTAACAACCCGTTTTTGGTTTTCGTAGTACACAATATCAGCTTTTAACTTAGCTATCTTTTGAACGTACTGCTCTAACCTACGCAAGTATTCATTCAACATTGTAAACTGACAATATTTTAGTTGGACTCAACTATTAAGGAGGTCGAGGAGCATGCGCATCACAATTGCCTTACAATTTTAGTTAGAGGATTATAATTAAATTCTTTTTCATGTAAAATTAAACAATAAGCTGATACAGTCTCACCAACATTTTCCTTGGTTTCAAATTCAATTCTTAATGAAACAGAGCCACTTAGAAGAATTTCTTTCTGGCGGGAACAATTAATATAAGCAATAGGAGTATTAGCTTTAAATTTTTCAGGGTTAAATATAGGTTGATTAGTTTGAATATGATAGTAAGATTCTTGGAAATTTGCAAACATTTCATATAATGTAGCAAAGCGGTTGGTATCAAAATTCAAGTTTAAATCATGATACGGAAATTTTTCAGAGTTTAGGAACACTCGTACATTTGTTAAGTTACAATGATCAAATTTACTCATATCTTTTAATAATTTTCCTTTGCGTCCATTTTGAAACGCTATTGCGATATGTCTTGGACTTTCTAATTTTGTTGATGTTTTGACAGGCCACGTATGTCTTGTTGAATTGTTTAATGTAGGATATTCAATTAATTCCCAGCTTCTGAATTTAATAGGTAGTTCTACATTACTACGAATTATTTTATTGAGCTGCAGTTGTTCGCTAATATTAGGTAAAATATGTGGTACATTCCAATAAAGCTTTGTTAGTTGAATTTTTGGTTTTTCTGTTTCATCTGTTGCAATGACTGTCCATATTAACGACGACTTTACGAAAATCTTTAAATACGCCAGACCATATTTTTAAGGGTATACATACATTAAAGTTACCATGTGCATCTATGAACAGGTTACCATCTTTAGGAAACCATCCACTGTTTTGAAGCAATTTAGATTCGTTTTCGTTAAAAGATAAATAATTTTTTAATATAGACACTAATCCAATATTTCTTACAACGTCAATTATTACACCATTTAACTCATATCTTAGTTCTCTAAACAAATAAGAAATACCATTATTAATTAGCTTAAATTTTGTAGGTAATCTGTTTTGATCTGTAGATATTTTTCCCTCTATGTAAATGTAGCTATTACAAGGTAAGGTTAAAGCATCCAAATCTTGAATTGAAATTCTTATTTCATCGTTATAATTTAAATTAGCTGTAGAAAAAGGTTGGTATTGTTGAAATCTATAATCTTCAATAGTTGTGTCACTAAATGGCTGACCCAAAACATTTAATATATCCATTATACTAAAACTTGAAAACCAAGAGACTTTAAAAATGCACGATTTTATGATGTTATCGAGTTGGAGGTTGGCTTTGTACTAATTTCTTTAGTATGTATCTTATGTTTATATTGTTTATAGGGATGTTCAATGCGATAAAATTGCCATACCATTTTATTCAATTTTTCTAAGATGGAGTCTAACAGTAATTGTTTCGTTGCCAAAATTTACCAAATTTCCAGCTTGATCGAGTATTTTCACAGTAACGTTGTTTATGGTTTTAACGCTGACGGGATAATACAATATTGTCAGAGGTTGTTCGACTATTTTATACCCGTTGTGAACTTGTGGAAAGAATTGGTGTATAATGTGCACAGGTTTTCCATTTAAGAATGATCCTATCGCAATGTTGCAGTCGAGTCAAATTGTGTTAACTCTTAAAATGTTTACTTTGTTTACAGAAGTATGAGATATGTTTGGTTCAAGTATAATTTGCGGAAACCCTAGAAGTTGCCCGATAGAATTATCAACATTAAAATTAATCCTATCACTGATATTAATTATTACTTTTTCAGTTTGTGTATTTGTTGTTATATTAACAGTGGTACCAGCTGATAGCATTTCCTTCTCTATGAGTTTAATTATGTCATTTATTTCGTAAGCCCCTGTTGGGATTCTTAATGTGTATCGACCATTACTACTCCAAACAAGCAAATTATTGTTTTCATCGACATTCGCAATACTATTAAAAGTATCAAAATTGGCAACTCCTATTTCATAGTCCATATTTTCATTATGATATAGTGGTGGGTTAAAGTCACCACTTAAAACGGAAGATTCTCCGCTTAATATGAATGTATATACCATGGTGGTTAAGAGATAACTGAATTAGATTAATTAATTATATTGACTAAATAAAAATTTTAAGCAATAGTGTCCACACTGATACGAATTATAGTTTTGAACAACATCATAGTTAAATTTTATAAAAACGTTTCCATTACTCTTAAAGTATTTAACTAATTCAGTAGGTGGGAATAAATTTCCATAGCTGTCAAAATAAATAATACACTTATTCTTTTTAGAATATGCAGTCCAATGGGTTCCGCTTCCATTTTCAGTATCAAGATTAACTATTCCACATTCATTTTGTTATATTTTTGCGGTAGAGAATGACGCATGAAAACACCGCGAAAGTGGGGGATCTTTAATATTTTAGCATATTTTTGAAGATTTTTGTTTGTCAGTGCACGCTTAAGTAGCTTTATCGGGAGCGTTTTAAAGATTTTTTTTTCCTTTTTGGTCTTAATTCCATATCCTTTGTACGGTCTTAATTAAAACCCCATTCCGTTTTTCGTTGCTTCTTCCATTGCTAGGTTATGTCTTTGCTGTTCTGCTAATTCTTCACGATCACCTTTAGCTTTATTGACTTCGCTCGCAATAGAGGCGGCACCTCTCCCGACAGCTCCTAAAGCCCCTAGTAAGGGCAATAACAAAGGTAAAAAGCCACCTTTTTTTGGTGTCTTAATATTGCGCTTATTTTTTCCTACTTTTTTTGGTTTAAGACCCATTCCAAGCTTGCGTTTACCTTTCATAGCAGTAGTTACAAATCAAGCAGCAACTTTTTCACCTAATTTAGCGTCTTTTGCTCTAACTCGTTCCCACGCTTTATTCTCCAATATTTTGTCTGCTTCGTGTCGGTCCAGTAAATCTTTATTTTGAGAATATGCAATATCGTGTTTTTTACAAGCAGCGTCTAACGAATTTATTCCTTCGTCTCCTTGCCTCAGCCTTTCTTGTAGACGCGTTCCTGGCCCGCAGAATCTATATCCTGGTATATGTGCTTTAAACGGAAGTTTGTTGATTAGACTATCGATCGAACCTTTTCCACGACGTGTTTGCACCTGCTTATATCTCACCATTGTGGTACTTATATTTCAAACGCACTCTATTTATACTCTCAGTTGTTGACAAGCTTGAAAACAATGAAGATCAAAGACCATAACCTTCGCCTTCTCATTACAAACCATGATATTAACTCAAGAGAGGTCATGGGGAAACATGGTCTTTTGTTTGGTGGAGATTCTAAAAGGGGTTTAATTATTGGACCAAGCGGATGTGGTAAAACTAATGCAATGTTATCACTAATAGATCATCCTAACGGGTTAAAATATATACTTGTCAAACCCTTTTCAGGTATCGAAAAGGGTTCAAGTATATAAGCTTATAAGCGCCTAACATGGTCTTAGTCACCATGGATCCTCACTTGACAAAACAACTCATTTAAGGTAGACAGGCATTGAAGAAAAAATATAATATTTTAAAACGGGGTATTACCAGTTCCCAAATACAGTTGGAAAAAAATTATGCTCATATTACTAAACCCATCAAAGAATTGGTTACTGCATTAGAAGCAAGACAACCTGGTGATAAACGAGAAATTGTTACTCCTAAATCTGAACAATTAACCTCTCGTACATTGTTGACTCCTATTCAATCTGACAACATGCCTTCTTTTGTAACTGAAAACCTAAGTCCCATCAAAAGAAATCCACCGACTTTCACAAAATTAACGTTTATGACACCAATTGTAATGGATAGTACCCGTGTAGAACCTACTAATTTTACAACAAATGAAACAACGTTTGCATCTAGGAATACGTCACCTGACAATACATTGGAAGGCGATGATGAATATATGGAAGATCAGATCTCTCAGTTTTATCGAACACTTCCTCAACATATTTTGGAAGACTACTTTGAATAGTTTGCAACTCCACTACCCAGAGAGTGTATTGAAGGAATGGTGCGCGATACCGATAAAAAGTTCGATCACATCCTAGGCGTTTTTCACAACCCCGATGAAGAAAAATATTATGTAGGAGATTCAGAAATCAATTTCCAAAAGGCTAATTTGAGAATAAAGGGTGTGGATTACAATTATACCAAGACTGATATTGCTAATTAC